CTTTCCTGATTGTGGTGGTTACATCAAGGCACACTGCCTTTAGGGAATATGTTAAATATTCAGAGGTGAAGGGTATCAGACTGGAACTTACTCACTGAGTGAATCTTCATACTTCAAACTTCTCTGTGTGTGATTGTTATATAATAAAATTTAAGACACAGAATACCAGCTCACACTTGTCACACTACTTAGACTGAAAACGAGGAGTGGATGTGGGGCAGCAGGAACCTCCTACGTGGTCCACAGCAATTATCCATTACAAGTGGCCAGCTATAATTCTCTGAAGATAAATGACAAGCTCTTGGTCCCTATGCCTGGAATGTCCTTTCTGTCCTTGAGTCTGCCAAAGTCTGACTCTCTGTCAAATCTTGAGTGATTGTCACCCTGTGAAGTTCCCAGGATTCCATACTCTGGTTCTTAAAAGAACTTCAAAAACATTTGCATTTTATAGATCTGATGCTATTGTTTAGTCTTTGAAGCAGAATTCAGGAGGCCGTGGAACCTTTGGGAGATGAGGCCTAGCTGGTGGGCAGACCTTAGAAGTTATAGGCCAGCCTTGGCTTCCAGCAGTCTCTTTGCTCATGATTGCCGCAGGGATGTAATCCGCAACCTCCTGTCCCCACTATCACAGCCATGAGCTGCTTGCAATGCCTCCCTATCATGATAGGTTGTATCCGCTGAACTCTGAACTGGAGTCAGTCCTTCCCCACTGTTGCTTCTGTGAGGATTCTGTCTCTGCACAGAGGAAGGCATTAGGGACAGTTGGATGCTGTCTTAGGAGCTCCTCTGAGGCCATGCTGCCTCACTCAGGGCACTGTAGCAGTAAAGTTGTGCCGCAGATGATCTGCCACGTTGGTTGTGTACTGTTGACTCTGCTACTTAAGCATCCCAGGGGAAATGGTGACCACATGAGAACTCTCTGGTAGCCCCTGTTTTACAGATGAGAAATGAGACCAAGAAATGTCAAGATACTTGTCACTTACTATCCAGAGGAAAATATTAAAAATTCTCATTGATGGGTATCTCTTTTTCAGGCTAATTTGAAAATTGTCTAATGTGTCCAGCTATTCAATTACTAAATTCCAAAACTAATATGATCCAAAATATTAAGCAGTATTTCATTTTATAATTAAATTAATACACTAATGCCAAATACAGACTAAACCCTGTTTGTTTCTAAAAAGGTTTCTTTTGAGTTTATTTCGCAGTACTGGGATCAAGCCCAGGACCTTAGGCATGTTCAGTGAGCACTGTGCCCTGAACCCTCTTCTTAACACATTTTAGGAAGATCAGCTATGCTGCAGTGTTTGTGATTTGCTCTCTGTGGCTGAGTAGTATCGTGGTTTGTGAACACACACCATTGCCTTACCTACTCTCATGTTGGTTGGTATGGGTTTGTTTCCGTGTTTATTTTTTTATTTATTTATTTATTTTATGTAGGTAAGTGTACTGTGACTACTTGCCAGTTTCGTGAGACATACCTTTTCCTTTCTCTTTGGTAAATGCCTCAAAGTGAGTTTGCTCTATGATAGTGGAGACACTCTTAGATTTAATAAGAAGCTGTTCTAAGTTTTCCATGGTGGTAACAGCATTTTACACACCATTCAACTACGTGAGGTTCTGATTTAGCCTTGTTCTCCCCAGGATATAGTGTGGATCAGATGTATTTAACTCTTCCTGTGGCTGTGCAGGATCATCTCACTCGTTAATCACCTGTTCTTGTGTTTAGAGATGATTTCCATATTCTCCCAGAATATCTATTCAAATCCTTCACACTGTGTTATTAAATCATTTGTCTTTTGTTAATTTGTGCAGGAGTTCCTTATATGTCCTGATGTAAGGCCTTTGTGAGGTCTCTGCTGTGGACAGTTGTGTGTTGTCCTCTCCCCAACCTCCACATGCTTTGTCTAGTCTGGATCTGATCTGAATGGCATAGCCCTTATTCTATTAGTGCTAATTAAAGAGACTTTCTTCATGGAGTTGACACAACATGGGCTCTGGAACTGGGACCTGAAGGTCTTGTCTCAGCCTAGCTACTATGTGGCCTCAGTTTCATTATTTGTTTTTAAAAAGTCATTTAATATATTTAATACTAGTACCTTCTTAGAGAGATGTTTTGGAGTTGGATAAATTTGTCTATATTTATCCTCTAAGGTGCTTAGAAAAATACTTGGTACATCATAGGTGCTTTACAGATGATAAGTGGTGTGTTTAAACCAGATCCAGCCAGCACGAGTTGACTTTATACTTTTACTTACTGTCTGGCTCACTAACAGCATGGCCTGTGTCATGGATCCTTTCAGCGCCCTGTCTGTAATGTTTATATAGGTTTTAGTAGAGCTATTATGATGCCTATTATTTTATTTTGGTGATTGATTGATTGATTCTTTTAAGAAGATTGATCTTTTGTCTGCACATTGTAACCTAGGTTCTCATAAAACTCCTGGCAGCAATCCTTCTGCCTGTTTCCTGTGTGCTGGCATTACAGTCAAGCATAGAGTCAAGTCTGCTTGGCCCTAAAGCACATTATTTTAGAAAGAGTTTTTCTCCTCTGTTAGCTATTTACTTGTGTTTATAAAACATTGATTCATTCAACATGTTTTTATGGGTCACTGTGTTAGCTTAATTCCCATCACTCTGACAAAATACCAATGACAGTCACCTTAAAAAGCGGTCCGTCATGATGGTGCCTACCTTTAATCTGAACACTCAGATGACAGGAGGAGGCATGTCTCTGTGAGTTCAAGGCCACCCTGATCCCATAGCAAGTTCCAAACTAGCCAGGACTACATAGTGAGACTCTGGCTCCAAAAATTAAAATAAAATACAAAAAGAAGTCAGAAGAATAAAGTTTGTTGGGGTCATGGTTTTAGAGGTCTCAGCTTGTGATTGCTTGGCGCTAGTGGCACAGTACATGACAGGAACACATGGCAAAGGGACCCTGTTTGCTTCATGGCAACACAGTTGAAAAACAAAGAAAATGAAAGGACCAGGAGTCCATTGGCCACTTCAAGGACACGTCCCCAATGACCTTTTTTACACTAGCTCTACCTCCTACAGCTTCATTCAGTAAAGCCATACACTGGACCTCAACAGAGGCTTTTAGGGGACCTCTTTGAGTATCACAACCGACACTGCATGTAGGCACTGGTCCAGCTAAGTAGCATACACGACTCACAAACACACAGACCCACTCTAAGGAAGAACAGGAGAGCACTTGCTATGTAAGCTGGGGCCTGGACAGATGGCTTGGGGGTGAAGTGCTTGCTGCGTTCAGATCCTCAGCACCCATGTACAATCTAGGCATGGTAGTGCTCACCTAAACCTCAGCACTGAAAGCAGACAGGTAGTTCCTGGGATTCATTGGCCAGCCAGTTTAAATGAAACAGTGAACAGTTCAGCGTGAGACCCTGTCTCAAATAATAAGTGAAAGCCAGGTATGGTGGCACACACCTTTAATCCCAGCACTCAGGAAGCAGAGATAGGCAGATCTCTGAGTTTGAGGCCAGCCTGGTCTACATAGTGAGTTCCAGGCCAGCCAGAGCTATATAATGAGAGCAAGATAGCTCCCAATAAAAATAAGGTGGAGAGTTGTAGAGGAAAACTCCCAATATTGATCTCCGGCCTCAGTGCATGCACATATGGGTGAACGCACCTATGGGCAACACACACACACAGTTCAACAAGATGGCTTAGCAGGCTAAAGCACTTTTTGCACAAGCCTAATAACCTGGGTTTGAGCCTAAAAACCCATGATTAAAACAGAAACAACCAAACACACAACAGATGCTCTAGCACACTTCTCTAGTCTCAGTATTCGTGCAGTGAGATGGGAGGTGGAGACAGAAATCACCTGGAACTCCTGAATTTGAGCCTAAAAACCCGTTTAGCATCTGCCAGAAATGCCCATTCTTTTCTTTATTATTCTGCATCTACCATTTGCTAATAAAGTTGATACTCTGCTCCTTGCCAAATGTAAGGCATGATAAGAATCTATCACTGAGCTCCAGGTTCGTTTTCCTTAATCTTCTGTTTATGGGACTAATATTTGGGAACTGGGGAACTTTTTATATAATCCGAACCAAACTCCACAAGTAAAGGCTTTACTATTGATCCCGCTTTCACAGGAGAGGAAGCCGACTTCTGTTACATTTGACCAAATGGTGTCTTTCTAAAAATCTGCTCCTGTCCTTGGTGTAACAATCTCCAGCGCCTCTCCTAATAAAGTTCCAGTCAACCGTTAAAAAAAAAAAAGTTTAAAACCAAAACGCACAACAGATGCTCTAGCACACTTCTGTAGTCTCGGTACTCCTGCAGTTAGATGGGAGGTGGAGACGGAAATCACCTGACGCTCCCAGAGAATTGAGAGGTGACCCTGCTCAACAAAGTGGAGAGAGAAGACTTACTTACAGAAGTTGTCTTCTGACCTCCACATGTGCACTGTGTGCCTGCAGACACTCGTGTGCATGTGCACTAATGAAAAATAAGCAAAATTTATAAAGAAAGTCCAAGAAGATCTCTAGGTAGCAGAGATGAATGTGCCCCTGTGAATAGAAAGGAGATCACATCATGGGCAGAGTGGTGTGTGAAAAGGTGGAAAGAAAGCTTCCTGGCTCAACAAGCTGTTAAAGACTTATACTTTCATAGTTAAACTATTTCATGATAGTACTTGCATGGGTGTGTGCGTGTGTATGTGTGTGTGTCCCATGCATGGGTTTTTGGCAACACTTTTGCATTAGTGTAAAATTACTGGATTACTGTACTTCCACTTCCTGGTGTGGTGTCTCCAGGGCAACCTCAGGGTGTAGATGCTAGGCACCATGCTGTGGCTGAAATGCAGAAGGCAGTGTACCTTACAGTAAAATATGAAGTGTCTGTGTGATTCCTGGGCCCCAGTAGAGAGATCAGAGCAAAAATGCTCAAGACACTCAAGACCCTGTCTGTTGTCAGAAAGGAATCTTGTTTTGGAGGTAAAATAACTGCTAACTATTTGTATTTAGATCTAAGCTGGAACCTGAGCCAAATACAAAGAGGAAAGAACCCTCATCTGAGAAAGCCTCACAGAATGCTTCCCAGGACTCTGAAGAAAAGCCTGCTGCCGAGGAGTTGCCAGGTATGAGTCAGGATAAAGGTTTTGCTCTGCACTTCTTCCTTCTGGCCTGTTGGCAGGGATACAAAGCAGGGAGAGGCAGCAGTTCCTGACCCGTGGTGTGAACATAGCTGCCCCAAAGCAAAAGAAGCATGGAGTAGCAGTGCTCAGTCTGAGTCACATGTTCACCTGGACCTGGGGAGGGCTGCTCTCCTGTGCACCAGCTGGAGACTGAGGCGGCACTATCCCTGCTGTCTGCTAAAGAGGGAAGTCTGCACTGGCAGCAGCCAGCCGCACTGCCCCAGGGTGGAGCATAGTTTCTCATGGGCCTCCACAGCTAGACAAGATGCAAGTATGGGTTTGTGTCTCTTGTCATCACAGATACAGTAATGTCCCTGACAGTTCATGCCAAAGAAATGCAGTCTCCTTCAAGTCTGAATGTCACAGACTGCTTCATTATGTGTGCAGTCCACGTGCCCCTGAGTAGGGATGCCTGCTCAGAGCACTGCATCCCTGAGTACAGCTAACAAGCAAGCTGGTTTCACTGCCTAGGGGTTCACTGAAGCCACGAGGCCTGAATGTCTCCTTTGCCGTGTCTGTGGCTCTGCATGGCCTCGCCTCACCGCAGCACTGGAGTATCATGAGTCTCTTTTATTGAGAAGATTCTGACAGGTTCAGAGCCTGTCTTGTCTGAGGTGAAAGCTCATAAATGGTGGGTCCAGGATTCACTGGTGTGTGGGTTTGACTTTCAAGCCTGTCTCTACCTCATGATTCCCTGAATGTCAGAAGTGTTTCATATGCACCATGGTTCACCAGCCTGGAGGATGCCAGAGGTCCTTTGTGCAATGAGAACAGCACTTTTGGAACTCTTTGTTGTGCCACATGTGCTGATTGAATCACAGGCCAGACTCTTATTGGATCTTTAGAGGTGTGCACTGTTGTGTTTTGCAGGTGAGGAAGCCAAGATTCAGAGAGGTTCTATAGGAACTCAAAGCCCAGCACTGAGGAAGCACAGCAGCACTCCACGTGGGAGGCTCTCCTTGCACAGCTTCAGCCTATTCCTGGCTGGTAGCTCATGTGCTCTAGCAGACAGGGGTTCTGCATCTTTCCTGTGCCTGCCACAGCCTTCCCATAATCCCATGGGCACAACTTCTTAGAAGACAAGACAGGGGCATCGTAACTAAATTTACTAAAGCTGGACACAGCATCCACATTCAGTCATTTACCCACTCAATATGCAGGCTGGTGAGAACAGGGGAAAAACAGTGCAAGCTGAGGGCCTAGAGGAAGTCTCATGGGAAGATGACCTCACTGCTGACCTCAAGCCTACATTCCATGTTGTGCCAGGCCTTGAGCTGGGTGTTAGGGATGTCCTAGTGAGTGGGAATGGCTCCTCTTTGGACTCATAGGGCAATGAGCAAGGTCCGTGTACCCGTACCCTTCCGTTTTGGTGTGTGTGTGTGTGAGTGTGAGAAGAGCAGTGTTCTAGTGCTCTGCCTTAGAGTCCACATGGCCAGAAGGTTGTGGAGACAAAGACCATGTGATGTGGAAGCATCTGGGCCCCAGCACTCACCCATGCTCACTGAACACCGTTCTGCCTGCTGATATGTGGGAGATACCAGCGCTAGTTACTGGGCTTAACTTTTCAAAAGGAAGTCACCAAGCAAGTACAAAGACAGCCTGCAGAGTGGAAAACCATTTCCACTGTACCACACTTGAATGGACACAGACCTCTCAACAAGAAAAAACTTTCTCATCCAATATATGCTAATCATGGTTTCCCTTCCCCCAACTCCTCACAGCTTCTTCTCGCCCACCCAACACTACATCCTTTCTTTCTGTGTGTCTTTAGAAAACAAACAGGCAAACAAACAAACAAGTAGATTTTTAAAAATAGAGAAAAATCTGGGCGGTGGTGGCACACTCCTGGAGGCAGAGGCAGGCAGATCTCTCTGAGTTCGAGGCCAGCCTGGTCTACAAAGCAAGTTCCAGAACAGTCAGGCCTGTTACACAGAGAAACCCTCTCTTGAAAAACCAAAAATAAATTATCACGAGAAACACACAAATGCAAAATCCATGAAAACATGGAATGAATGTCAGTCTCTTAAAGGAACATCTACTCATGACAAATAAGCATGTTAAGAGGACCCAGCATCACCAGTGATGAGAGAGCACATGACAGCCACAAGGCACCCCACACCTCCAGAAGGACAGCATGAGAAGACATGCATGAGTGGGGTGGGGGAAATGAGGAGGCATACTCATACAGCTCACACGCTGAGGTAGAGTTGGACCCCAGCACCGTCGACTGGGCATTCCAAAGCCTGAGTGTTCCATGGTATAGCTTATGTCTGAAAAGCGCAGAAGCAGCCAAGAAGTGGTAGGCTGGACACAAGACATCTGCCACCAGGGACCACCCCCACATATGCACCCAAACTCACATAGAGCAGAGCGAGGAGTGCTTGGGTCACACTGTGGACTCTAAGGTCACCTGTTAGGTGTAGCAACTGTGAGTATGTGGGATGGGAGCATTTGAGGCTGAGGAACTGGGAGGGGCATTGCTGCCTGAGGTGGGGAAGGGACTCCGCATACTGACCTACGTGATTGGGTCAGAAGTGCCTGCTGGGTGTGCAGGTGGAAATAGCATTGATGTTGGAGTGAGCAGGGAGAGCTTAGGGCTAGGAACTTTGGGGATCCTGGGAATCGGCAGCTTGGAACCATGGCCTGAGTGCACCTCTGAAGAGATGACAGAGAGAAGCAGGCCAGGCTGCCAGGGAGAGGCCTGCATCCAACTTTGATGTGCTGTCTGATTTCCTGACTAGAACCTTCTTCCCATCCTGGCCTTAGTGTTGACGGGGAAAATCTTCCCCAACGACCAGATGCTCTCCTTCCCATGCTGTGCATCTACCCTTTCCGCCATGGCAATAGAGTGCTTCTTCCTGTGTGTGGACATCTGCTAGGTTTTCTGTGGGCAACTTTTCAAATCTGGCCCATGTGGATGTGTCCTTTGCTTACTTTGTCTTTGAGTATTTATTTCCTTTTGAAACCTGAGATGCCACTTAGACAAGCATGTTCTGGCACAGAACAAGGTGGTACAAGCTGGTCTCTTGTCTGTTGTACTCCATTCTGCCATTTGGCACTTGCTCATTTAGTTATTAGCAGGTTCACACCTCTACTCCTGGCTGACCTGCCACCCCCAGCATTAAGGCCTTTTCTTTAGACATTCTGCCTGGCAAGGCTGTGTTCTTCACGTCTCTGTGGTGAGTTGTTTGCCCATCTTGGTTTCTGGGTGTTCAGATATATTTCTCAAGCGAGTCATTGTTCCTGGCCCTGCAAAGCTAGCTGTTGCCAGAGAGGATAGGATTCCAGCTCCTGGGAGGGAGTAAGAAGTGTCCTAGGAAAAGAAGAAGTGGGGACAGAGGGTCCTGGGGACCTCAGGAAGGGGTAACCCTGAGCAAGTGAGTCAATAGCACCACCCCCACCCCCTAAAAAAAGAATCTTAGAAACTTCTATGCTGAAGGAACAGTTAGATCAAGAAAACACTCAAGAGGCCAGAAATCATGGAGGCCCATGTGGAGTGCAGTTACTAAACAAAAGACCTTCGGGATTAGTGAGGAGTTGTAGGAAATGTGGTTGAGAGGCTGCCGGGGGCCAGACCATGGAAGGCTGGGGTGCAGGTGGGGTGTCAGGGTCTGGCAGGTCGGCACAGTGTGCTGTGAGCGCTATGCTTCAAGCTGAGTCCCGAGGCCCAGGTCAGGAAGGCTCCAGGGGGTGTGCAGTGAGCCGCCTGTAGAGTACAGAACTTTACCATCCGGATGCAACTAATTCATACTTGGATCCATTATGATGGGGCTTATGTTTCTGATTGGTTTTTCTATTCAAAGGGGAAAAGGAAGAAAAATCTGAAATAGGGACCAAAAGTGAAGCCAAGCAGGAGATAGAAGTCACAGGGTGTGGGTGTGGGTGAGAGCACACGGCTCCCATGTAGGAGATAGAAGTCACAGGGTGTCGATGTGGGTGAGAGCACACGGCTCCCATGTAGGAGATAGAAGTCACAGGGTGTGGGTGTGGGTGAGAGCACATGGCTCCCATGCTCTGAGTGTTACCTCAGAGCAGTGCCATTCTGCCTGGGGATGCTTTGTGATACGGGTATGTTTTTCTTTGTCTGTAGCTCTGTGTCAACTGCACTGAGTGTAGGTGGCTGTTGGGGAAGATGCGTTTCTAACAGTAGCCACGCCTGTCACCCAGGGTGGGCCTGATCTGCCTGCTCTTGATTGCTGCTGTTGTGATTGCTTTTCCCAATCAAGGTTCCCAGAACTCTTACCACCGCACGGGGCTAAGCTCACCTGGAAATTTATTGGGGCTGAGGAGAAAGGAAAAAGATACAGCATTTGCCTTTGAGTCCCAGGCAAAGCAGTGATGGAGCCCAGGGACATGGAGACACAGAGAAGTGGAGTCACCTTTGGGGACAGATGTGTCCAGGTCTCCACTGAGCAGTCCTTACCTCCCATCAGCCAGCTCTACTACAGTGTGCAGGCTGTACCCATTGCTCTAGGCAAAGTTCTTTCTAGGCACCTGTGCTATTGAGAGGCCATTGTGTGCTTGCCTCATCGTGAACAAAAGGCTGTGTAGATTAAAATGTTCATGTTCTAGGATATGTGGCTGTCCTAGAGAAAGACTTCATGCTGTGTGGGCGAGGACATGGAGCCGCTGCTGATGTTAGCTAGCTGTACAATATGGACCATGCTGCAGAACCCCACTCTTGATGTCTTCATGTGCCTGTTTCTTCATCCGTCTATTCGGAAGGAATAGCTGGCCTTCTATCTTTGTCCACTTTACTGTTTTGTTTCATAACAGAAAAGCCTTTGGCCGAAGCACAGCCTGAACTGGGAACCTGGGGCGATGGCAAGGGTGAAGATGAGCTGTCTCCAGAAGAGATACAGATGGTAATGCTAACTGCTTCCTTTCAGCTGCCTGGCCTAAGACCTTCAGTGAGTGGGAGGTTGTGCAGATGCTCCTGCCCTGATTTCATACTGGGCTTTAAAAATATAAACACATTTTATATACACTTACCCACTTAATATCCTATTTCCTGTTAGGATTTCATGATTTCAGTTCACAGTAGCATAGTAAATCAGAAGTTAGCTTGGATGGCCTTGCTAACTGTCTTTACCAGCAATATAACAGGCATCTGGACTAAATGAAATGAGCCTTTTATATTTGTCAAGATGGTGTTTATACTCAGTTGAGTCACTGGTGTCATGGAAATGAAAGCATAGTGATAACTGAAGGATGGTGGAAGCAGCCATCGGGACAGTGACCACCTCCTCCTGTCCCCTGTGCTGAGTGCTGTTGTTTGTCATCTCAGTGGTTTCAGGGGACAGAGCTTTGGTGAGGCCTCCCAAGTGGCAGTTCCTGGCTGTGCAGCCATTGACAGTGAGCATTTTAGGACTCATCTCCTTGGATCTTCTTCAGGCCTAAAGTATTCACCACCTCCTCCTGCCTTTGGCAAAGAGCAAGAGAGGCCTTGCCAGCAAGCCCTGCTGATAAGAGTGGAGCTGGGTTCCCAGCCTCTGGAGACAGAAGGAGCAGTGGTAAACATTAGCCCTCCTGTCTTGTGAGGATGGGCTCTGCCTTGGCTTAGCCCTCAGCCTTTCAGGAAGCCATTTGTGATGCTGACTATTTCTCCCAAAAGGCCTCTCCTCCTCACTCCTTTCTGACTCCTATCATGTCTCCAGGGTAGCCTTCTGGAGTCCTCTCTGACCCCAGCCACCCCCCGTATTGTACTCTATTCTGTGCCTTCTCTGCTGTGCTAGCACCATGTAAGCAGGATCTTGTTTCACTGTCACAGTGGCCTTAGTCCCACGCCAGTGATTACGAGTGCTGCTAAGTAGGTGAGTGACTGATGGGTTCGTGTGAGTGATACAGGCCTGTCCACATGTCTGTTTTCCTCAGCATCAGCTGCCCAGCCCAGATGTCAGGCTCAGAGCTTCTTACTCTTCAGATTCCCTGCTTCTCCTTGCCTGAAACAAAGGCTACAACAGAAAGTTTTCTTTCCAGAAAGTAGCACAAGCAGGTGAAAACCAGCGTGCCAGGAACCCAGTGAGCCTCAAGGCAAAAGCAAGGACTGTGGACCCCCAGCTGACTACAGTCCACCCCTGCCTTCATCTGGACCCTCTTTGTCCTCTCACTGCTCTCGGTGACAGCAGTGGCTGTCTCCAGGAGCTGATGATAGAGATCTAGCCCTGGAAGGACAAATGTGAGAGGACCAGACACTTGGGAGGCGTCTGACGTGAGCAGTCAGGACAAGGGCAGACATGGAGCTGGGCACTGGGGAACAGGAGGTGTCAGACAGCTGGGAAGTGCTGTGGACATGGCAGAAGGTGTGAGCTGTCATAGGATCTAGGGCTTAGTCTAGAGGCATCTTAGGGCTGGAGTATCATGGGCTTAGGAGGTCCTCAAGAAACACTGTGTACAGGGACAGGACAGATCCATGAGTGTTCCCTGGGAATGCTGCATTAGAAGCAGGCTGAGATGTAGAAACCAACAAATGAGTTTCAACACAATTGGATTGTGTTCCCTTCTGACAACTAATAGTGACAGAAGTATCTTAAAATCATGTCATTTGTCATTGGTTTATACAAAATAATTTTGCTAGTGGAAATGATGAGTTATACTTCCCCAAACGTTGCAAATTTGCTAGAGATAATAATGTGTACTGCTCAGTCTCTTCATCGAGAAAGACACTTTTGTTGAGTGGAAGCAGAGTGTAAATTTGCGCTGGACCTCACTCTTTTATGTGCATCATTCTTCATAAAGGAAATAGCCAGAATACTCACAGGGGTTTGCCTTTTTCCTGGAGCAGTGATGAGCCCCAAAGGTCGGTTAACCTTTGCAGGCATATGGAAGGTAGGCCTGGGAAAGCAGACACTGGGTGTCTGCCATCCGATAGCACAGTCCTGCAGTGGAGAACAGGGACACTAGGACCAGGCAGTCAGCTGTGAATCCTCCTCCTCTTACTAATTATCTGCATAAATTGGAAGCAAATGAATCTCAATGGACCTCAAGCTGGTTAGGATGGATGCCCTGCCGAACTGTGGGAAGTCACAATTGAGAACCACTCAGCACAGCCAGGGAGGCCCTGTGTACAGTTCACATGACCCACACCTGCTACACAGCTGAAGATGAGTGTCAGGATGTGAGGCTCTCTCCCAAGACTGTTGGTGCCAGCTTTCATGCCCTCTGTTCCAACCAGACCATTCCCCAAAAGGCTGGCATTTCAGCCTCTAGTGTTCCTGGTTTGTGTTGTGTTGGTGTAGGTGTGGGGGACAGAGGATATCATGAACTCCTATAACAGGCTACTTAATGTTCAGCAAATGATGTTCTTACTGGGATTAATTGCTGAGTATCATGTTGTCAAGTCTTACTAGCCCAAATTTAAAAAAAAAAAAAAAACAATGGGAAAGAATACTCTATTGTTGGTTTTACATTGAAAGGTACTTTAGCAAATTGTGGCCATAGCTCATAATCAGTTTTGAAACTTTCCCTCGTGGTCAAATAATGAGTTAAGCCCTATAATGGCAATTTAATTCATTCTTAAATAGCTGCTAGGTGTTGCAGAACGGCTGCAGGATGTTTATGTACAGTCAGTCTCCAGGTGCGAGTCATGGTACAGGTGGATGGTGCCTTGAGTTAGCAGAGGTTATATGGTCGGCTGAGTGAGACTCAGTTGTTTTCTAGTCAAACATCAAGAAAAATGCTCCCTTTTAGAGCCCACTTTACTTTTATGTGCCTCGTTCATTTTGTTCAAGTAAAGTCACCTTTATTTATTGATGTGTTCATTGAAGTAACTTTGAAAGTTGTGAGTGTGACCTCTTTCTTAAATCTGTATGAAATGTGTCTGTAGCAGGTACCCGAGGCAGTTCATGGAGCCCAGGCAGCCAGCTGGCACAGCTTTCGTACTGTGGCCCAGCACAGTTCCTGCACCTAGAACACAGGTGTTGTGGGAGAGTCTGAGTCCTAAGCCCTCACTTATCTTCTCTGGATGGTTTGAGATGGGCGTACTTCATTGGGCCTTATTCTTACTTTTCTACTCGAGGGCCTTGGCAGTAGTGACTTTCTTTGTAAAACTTAGCAAAGAGGGATAGATTAAAAACAGGGTTTCTATAATAAGATATTGAAAATGGACTTGTGTCTTTTAAACAAAGTGCAGCTGGCAAGTCTAGCTACCCAGTAACAGAATGAGATGGCCAGGGGGGCTATGGCTTAGCACACTGTGCTTTTACCACGGCTGCCCTGAGCACTTCCACCTGTGTTTGTTTCTTACGCTCATCCAGGAGGGAGTATTGCAGGCTCCACTATGTGATTAGCCATAGACACCTGTTCAGGGTCACCTGGATCTCAAGCTTTAGATCCTTAGGGTGATGTTGATAAACCAGGGGTGGTGGGGTACACCTGTAATCTCAACACTTGTGAGGTGAAGGGAGGAAGATCCTCAAATGCACAGAATTGTGAGCCAGCATGGAGTACATATGAGCCTAAGAGGAAAAGATGCTGCTGCATGTCAGCCATCCTTCACTGTGACAAATACCTGAGATCAGCTGCTCAAAATAGGAAAGTTCCACCCGAGTGCATGGTTTCAGAGGGGGCTGGTGTGGTGAGTGGCTCCGTTTGCTCTGAGCCTGTGAAACAGCATCGTGGCAGGAAGGGCATGGTGGGAAGAGGTGCTTATCTGCCAGCTGCCCCAAAGACATGGCCCCTAATGACTTACTTCTGCCAGCTGGTCCCAACCTCAGCTATATCCTTCATCATCCTGAATCAGTCACGGAATAATTCAATAACTGCACCAAAGCCTTAATGATAACCTCTCAATGGCTGGATGTGCCAGCCAGAAAGCAACTCTTCATCCATGAGCCTTTTCAGGAGAGAATTCATATCCAAACATAGCACATTAAGTGATAAGTATCCCTTAGACTATGGTCATATTGCATCTCTGGGCATCTAGACATCCTGCTGTGGTGCTGACCACAGAGACCAGGACTTTGGTTCAGCCCCTGTGCCTGGCCAAGTCCTTACTTATGTGATGAAGCAGTATGACCACACAGCTAGACTGACCCTAGAGTGTACTATCTGAATTTTCCAGAGCCTGACAGTGAAACGGCCAAGGGCCACAGTTAACCCTGTTGAATCTGAGGTCAGACAGAAGAAAGGGACCTATAGGCATCACACCACTCACTCTACCTGTCTGGAATCTGTCTCCCAGAGAGTACTCTGATAGACAGCACAGTGTTCTAATGACCTGTCTAAGTCTTTTTGTTCCCATTTTGGTGACAAAGCCCAAGGACAGTAATTAGATTACTGACCACCCAAAGGCATACAGCTTCAAAGATGAAGGAGCTGGGATTCCAGCTGTGACTTTACACCTCAGGGTCAGGGAAGGGTAAGGCTCACAGCTGTCCACAAAGAAACTGATAGCCATTGAGAAGAGGTTGACTAGCTAGAGCCACCCAACCATGGTTATTTTCATGAGGCCTCACACCTGGTTTCTATACCCATGGGCTATATGACCAACTGCCCCTGCCACTCAGCTCTTGGGGCAGGCTTGCCATTCAGAAAACCGCCCTGAAACCAGTGCCATTGAACATCCACGGCTGGACCCTGTTAGACTTCAGTAAGTGGTGACCTTGCACTTGTTAAGGCAGTGGTCCTCAACCTGTGAATCACAACCCTTTGGGGGTTGAATAACTCTTTCACAGGGGTCGCCTAAGACCATTAGAAAACACAGATATTTACATTATGATCATAACAGCAAAATTACAGTTATGAAGTAGCAATGAAAATAATTTTATGGTTGGGGATCACCACAACATGAGGCACTGTATTAAAGGGTCACAGCATTAGGAAGGTTAAGAAGCACTGGCTTAGGGGAACACGGTTTGGTGGTTCTGTCTGTTTATTTGTTTTTATTAACTATTTCATCTGACCTGCCCTGTAGTAGAGGCTGCTCTCCACCGGAGCTCCCGCTACTATCAGCACTCTCTTCACCCTCTTCTTAGAGGTTGGTCATTTCTGAGGTGGCATACTGAACCCCTGGGCGCAGGGAAACCAGAACCAAAAGCTGTGCCTTCGCCTGGCCACTGGAGCCCATGTGCCACTCTCAGAAGTCACAGCTGCTGAAGCTTAGAGAGAGAGTGCAGCCTGCACCTCATGCCTGGCCTGGAGGAAACCAGAAACAAACCCAGGCAGCATTCCAGTAGTAAGTCACCTAGACTCATAGCTAATTGTGTTTAGGAACAGTTTCAAAGTAACTAATGACAAGATTTAAAAGGGCAGAACCATATTTTATCATTAGGGGGGAAAAAAAAGAATAAAATGCCTCCCTGGAAGAAAAGCCTATGCATACCTGAGGGGATTAGTGCAAGTAAATTAGCACCTACAACTGAAGTAATTCCACATTCTCGGAAATATACTGCTCTCCTAAGTCACTGCTGAGCAGACAGTCAACAGCTGATACTTTCTGACTCGAAAGTGAAGGTTTTACTCTCTTAGTCTCCTTGAAGCCTAATAAGAAAAGAGCCATTAGCAATGCTGACTCCACAATGCACAAGGCAGCCCGCTATGGCTTGCTCAAGCGGTCCTGCTGGGAACTGGCCCACCCATCTGCCCTCCTGAAGCATTGCCATCTCTTATCGGTCTCATTTTCTGATCTGATGGTTCTAGGGTAGAGTGAGGCCTCTGTGTTCTGATGAGCAGCCGGGCTTGTGCAGGGCTCAGGGATCGCAGAAGAAAGGTGGCTATGTCCCTTGAGAGAAGCTGGTTCCTGAACAAGTTAAGAAATGTCAGTGGCACTGCACGCAGGGGAACTCCAGAGAAAGTGCGCCCATCTCCTCTGTGGCCAGGCCTTAACATGGTGCCTGTGCTGTTGTCCCCAGCCAGTCAGAAGGGATGGGAGATGTGACATGCAACCCTTTAGAAATGGCAGAGGCTGCCATCACAGAGGTGGGAAGTGCCTGGCTCACAGAGAACATGTACTCTTCTGCCAGCCCAGGCAAGGCCAACCGGGAAACGTTTCACTGATGTCATGGGCAGAAAGAACAACTCAATGCTGGCAGCGATGTAGCCTGAGGAGTTCTATCGGAGCCTTCTGCTCAGGTACATCCAGGATCTGCACTTTACAGAGAACATTTTAGGACAATCAGTATGGAGTAGACTTGGGGCTTACTCTGAGAAAGATAGTAGTGCAAACCTCTAGCCAGTAGGGCAGCCCAAGTGCTGTTAACCACACAAGGTCACACAAGACCTGCCAGCCTCTGCCTCACAGTCTTCCTCATACCATGTTTTCTGTCTATTTATGTTGCCCTAGAGATAGGTGGCAGCAGTTGGCTCCTAGTAGAAAGGGTGTCTGGGAGCTGCTGAGCCAGCTTCCTCTGTCCAGCACTGGTATCAGCTGCTCCGGAGTCCAGACATGGGAGGAGCTCTGCCAGCCACCACAGCATGCTTGGTCTGTGGGCAGCTAGCATTTTCTCCCTAGAGTATGGTATTTTTCAGAGAATCTTCTGGAAGTGCCCTGTGCTAGCCAATGGGATTAGGCTGTGATCCTTAGAAGGTGGGTGGAAGGTCAAAAGTTCCATTCCATATAGCTCCTTTCTTGAGCCCCATTTGATGTCATTCTGAGTGTATGTGTTTCTTTGCAGTTTGAACAAGAAAATCAGCGACTCATTGGTGAAATGAACAGCTTATTTGATGAAGTGAGGTATGTATATAGCTAATGGCTTGATGACAGCTTTTCCAGACACCAGGGCCTTTTTCTATTCTCTTTGGCACCCAAGCACCCATATGTAACCGGGAAGGACTGGCTACAACAGCAGGCTTATGGGTGCTGCAATATGCAGAAAGAGCAGTTGCTAAAGACAGATTACCCCAAAGTGAGACCACACCCACAGCACAGGGCTGCTTGGGTGGAGCGGCTGTAAAATGTAGTAGGGACCCTGCAGCAGGTGCTTGCTCCAGTAGTGTCTGCTTCCAGGGGACCAGACTCACACATCTGGAGGCTCCAGGGAACTCACCCAGGCCTTTGTCTCGCAGGAGTGGTGCAGTGCTCTGAAAGCACCTGCTGGATCTTTGCACAGCCCCATCCCATTCATGGTGCAGCCCCTCCCAGTCTGGGGACTTACTCGGATCAGAGCTACTCCCCTTGGACAGCCCTAGGGGTATTTTGTCCCAAAGGTGGCTCTTCAAGGCCTCCCTCTTCTTAGCCTAGCTCCCCCATCCCTACCCACTTTGTTGTTGCTTCCCTGAGACCTGATAATTGGTCCTTCCCATCTCCTGTGTGCCTTTCTCCATTCCCTATTTGTTACCTTTCTCCTCCTGCCACTGACTTATAGCCAGCTGTTCTGGAGCAGTTAGTTTCAGCCTGAGCCAGTGTCCACTTTCAGGCATGCACAGCCCAGCCCAGCCCAGCCCAGGGTGCTCTAAACTACAGGAAGCAGGAAAAGGGCTCACCCAGTGTTTCAAGTTGGGCAAGCGCTTAGTTGTTAAACCAGGTGAAGTGATCACAGACTGAACTGGAGCATTTTCTTGTCACAGGGAGCTGATTTGAGAGGGAAATGTCCCTTCTTTGCAGATGGGCTTTCCAAATGACCATGCCTTTTGATTCACTATTATGCATCATGCAGTAACTAGGCTATGCTGAGGACTTACTATGCCTGCCCAGTTCCTCTCCCCATTTGGAGTGGCTGCCCACTTTTTGCTCTCACCTTGATGGTCCCTTCAGGAATGTGGACCATTCCTGTTAGATTACCAGGAGCTAATAACTAACATGTCACCTTTTTTATTTTTTTTTTTGAAGGCAAATCGAAGGGAAAGTCGTTGAAATTTCCAGACTCCAAGAGATATTCACCGAAAAAGTTTTGCAACAGGTAAAAAGACCCAAAGGCCCAGCAGTTTGAAGTTTTGGCTTAGAACTGACTTGAGAGCTCAGAACCCTCTTCCAGAAGCATCTGAGTGGTGCAGATTAGGCAACACCATGTTTTGCTAGCCAGTCAAACCACTCAGGAGTACCAGTCAAAGCTTCCTATCGCTTCACAGCAACTGTGGTAAAGCTGAGGACTCTGTGTGGGGACCCTGATTAGAGCAGAGTAACCCCTGTAAGCTAGAGTATCTGGTGGTGGTAGGAGGGTGCAGTCCAGGGCTGGGAGTCAGGAGCCCCTCTACACCATTGCTTCCCATCTGTAGAAAGGGAAGAAACTGAGGGCTGCTGCCCCACAAGTGCATAATGGAGAGCAGCTTTCGGTCCACCGTGCTCCAGAAATTAGTCTCTCAGCCAGCTCATGCTGCCTCGGGAACACAGTCTGATGGAGGTAGGGCTGCTCCAGGTCCTTAGGACTTTAGACCCATGGACTGTAGAAGACTTTGGGGGAAACACCTCTCTCTGTCTCTGGGCTGTTGGCTCACTCACAATGCAATGCCTGAACCTCACAACAGAGTTGAGTCAACATGCACATGCATGAAGTAGAAGCTAAGGACACTTGAGAGTTCAAGATCACAAAAGCAAGATACTCTTCACAGGTTTCTTATAGATCTCTCTACCCAAGCCATGTGTGTGGAGGTCATGACTGGGTTTATCTGACACTCTTTCCACAGGAAACCGAGATCGACAACATTCACCAGTTAGTTGTGGGGGCAACGGAAAACATCAAGGAAGGCAATGAAGACATCCGAGAGGTGGGTACCTGGGGCTCTCAGATCTGATTTGGCACATCACTGTGTCCCAGCAGCCGAGTCTCACTGGTAAGGCTGTCTAAGATCACTGTGTACAGCTCAGGGCCCATCCTGCAGCTGTAGCCATGGGTTTATGGTCAGGGCCAGCCTAAGAGCATGTATTCATAAGACCTGCTGGCTTGCTTTCAGCTCATTCTCAAGAGAAAGTAGTTCCTGGCCCTGTAAGAACAGTATAGGTGGGAGAGCATCCAAGTTGGGCCAGGACAATCCAAAGACAAGGATAAGCCCACTGAGGGCAAGAGCCCAGAAACTGTCTGGAGGGCATCTGGCCCTCTGAAATTCAGACCTCCTAGTAAACCCACTACAAGGCAAGAGCATCACTGGGAAACCTGAGTAATCCATGGGGAGTTGAGTCCTGCGAGGTTAGGCTCTGCCCACCAGAAGAGGATGAAGGGCAAGAGCTTAGTGTAAAGGTACTTGCTGCCAACAAGGACAACCTAATTTTGATTCCTGAAATCCCATGGTACAAGCACAGGATGAACTGTGGCCCTACACCCCCCACACCATGACATGCATTCCCACCTACCCACACAGATAAATGTAATTTTAAAACGGATTGCAAGGCATTTGTTCTCTGTCAAGTCTCCATGCATGGTGGCTTTTGTTCTTACTTAAGCCGCCTATCTAGGACGTTCATGGAGGTGTACATGGAAGGGTAGGCACCAAGGGCTCTGACACCTGTGCTCCTCCTACCAGGCCATCAAAAACAACGCCGGCTTCCGAGTGTGGATCCTCTTCTTCCTTGTGATGTGCTCCTTCTCCTTGCTCTTCCTTGACTGGTATGACAGCTAGCCCACGAGAGCTGCACCTGTGCCTGCCTGCTGCCTCAGACACCACATGCCAGCATGTGTCTCATCTGCTGTGTGGCCGTGTCAGGTCCAAGGCTGGGGAGACGTGGCCCCCGAACTGATATCTGGAACCTACGAGACCATGGAAATGCATGGATTGAAAGTGCCCAAGACAATCTTCAGGGGCAGAGGGTAATGGGGCTAGGCAGTCAGGAGCTGCACCTCCAGGAGAGGCCACAAGCATGGCGGGGCAGAGCAGCGCAGGGATATGACACACCAGCTATCCCCCACTACAATGCTTGGGGCCTCGTCTCCTGCCTTTCTCACACCAGTAGCTTCAGGGGAGAACATACCTAATGTTTCTAAAGTCACTGGTTCTTATTTCCTTATGGCATCTAATATGTGCTGCTACGTAGCCATTTTGTCATAGAAAATAATTCACATCTGCCTTGTCGAGCTAATAAATGCAATTACAGCCACTTATTGCAGTCACTGAGTCTCCAGTGAGCAAGCTCTGGATGCCACCTGGCCGAACAGGCACTCTGCTGCCCTCCACTAGACCTCTCTCTCCTGCCCTGGCTCCCAGCATGTGAACAGCAAAGCCAGGGTCATGTGAAACCTGGCTTCCTGCCACTGGCTCTCAGACGCTTGTGTTCCAAGAAGGGTGTGGATTTCAGAAGGGCAGGCCTTCTGCCATTGTCCCTACACACTTTCCCCTCCAGAAGAGGCTGTGTGGCTGCCTGTTGAGAACTAGAAGTGTGCAGGTCACGGCTGCATCTTTGCACAGATTTATCCTGGTGTCACACAATTCCTGCTGAAGCGCATGAGTATACACCGTCCAGTGTGAAGCTAGGCACCCACGAGCTCTTTATTTGCAGTGAATGTGAGAAGGTACATTGGGAGGATCCGCAGGGGGCAAAGTGCTGCTACCAGAAAGCACAATGGGGCTTGCCTACTGCACTCACATGGTCGGGAGTCAGATCCCTCTGCAGGACAAGCTTTGGCACGTGTTTATTGCTCTTTATGCATTCCTCACAGCTTCCCAATGCCCTTCAAGCACATGACTGTGTGACCCCGCCACTCCCCCGCCCCATGCTGAGTTCATGGTCTTTGTTTTGGAACACCCCAACAATAAAATATTGTCTCAGTAGCACACCTCAGGAAACAACAGTGTGGCTGACGGTGGTCACCATGCTGGTTCACAAAGAACCTCGCACTATTTGCCATCTATTTCTGACCTATTAAGGAACACTGAAACTTCTGCCATGCCCACGGGAAACAACACATTCTGAGAACGTGGAAGAAAACAACCATGAGTAGCTTTTTCTATTTAATTGTCTTACACGTTTACCTACTGGTGATTTTGTAAACATATACTTTAATGTCAAGATTCAGATTGAAACATAAACATACTTTTCTTACAAAGATTGTGGACTCAGATATTCTCTTTGCAAGGTGCCACATCAGCCCCCCACCAGCCGTCCTGCCCCCTTCTCATAACACAGGAGTCACATCTGTTCACAGATTAAAAGCTACAGTAGCCCTGACTTACCCAAATTACATTTTCACTTTGCCCACCCAGCTAATAAAATGAAAAACCAAAACCCACCTGCATACAGGGCTGTACGTGCAAACATATTCATAACAGGAAAGAAGGGAGCCAGTGGGGTTTCTTCCTATCTAGCACATCACCAGCAGACACCCCACCCCCAGGGAAACAGATTCTGCACCCCCTGGCCGAGAGCCAGCTCCTCCCCACCCCAACCTTGTGCTCTGCTCAGTGCACACACCAAAGAGAACCTCCCAAGGGGCTGGCAGAGTTGCATCATGGCGCACACTTTCCTTTCTCTGTGCCACTTAACAGTGCATCCTGGCAGTCAGTACTGCTGCCAGCAAAGCACAGGATCACTCTAGATATGGCTATGGAGTAAGGTCTGCAGATAGCAAAGGGGCATAAAGGAAAAAAGAAACCCACCAAATGCACTACTCTGATGGCCTGACCCCTGGCATATCTAGTGTAACTTATCTTTTGACAGCATCCAGTGAATCCCAGTAAAGGAGCTAAATGAAGACTCCTCAGCATGGACAGTGGCATCAAGCTCTCTAAGCAATGCTGAGATGTGCTTGTTTTTATGCCTGTGGGTGGTCCGCAGCAAGTTTTATTTGCAAAGCAGCATTAGCAAACAGAAGCAATTGCACCGTAAATGAGTAACCTCTAAATTATCGGTAATTATATTTAATGAAATGTCCCTCAAAGTCCCTTTGTTGCCTTCAAGTGACACATTGTAGGGAACCCGCCCAGCTTGCTAAGCTGACTTCTCTGCAGCTTCGGTCTCCTGTTCCGACAGCTTCTCTTCTGACAGAACTGACATCCATGGCGACACGGAGCGCGTGATGCTCTGCTTGGCCAGGTTGTAGTGGTTTATGACAGTGTAAAATTTCTCCCGGGCACTGGAGTCTTGCTCCGTGTAGTAGCTCTCCAAGCCTTCTGGAATGCACTGGGTGTTCTGTAAGACACGAGGCCATGCATATGACTGTAGATGCAGGGATTACCAGCTTGTGTCTGCAGCAACTATCCCCACCCCCCAAATAGCTCCTGAGCATCTCCCCTGAGCTTGCAGGAATAAACACTAACAATGGACAGTGGAGTGGGGCCTGCCCTCCAAGAGCATAGTTGTCTAGAAGATTGGCTGTGCGGCAATGGGCACCTGGGCTCCCAGGATAGGTGCAACAGGCAGCGTGCCTCCCTTCCAAGTCTCTAATTGGCTGATTGTCCTTGGCTAGTCATCTGTTAGAAGCAAGGACACTTTTGACATGTCTACAGACAATCCACCCAAAATAAGAGGAAGAGCACCAAGGGAGGCTTTCTTTGGGGGCCAGTGAATTAGTTTAGTTCGGTGGGTGAAGAGGCTTGCAGTCAAGCCTGGCAATACTAGTTCAATCCCCAGGACCTGCATGAGAGGAGGAAAGAACTGGTTCCTGCAAGTTAACCTCTGAGCTGAGCCATGCACCTGACATGGCAGCCGATGGCTGCATCTCTACCTGCCTTATGCCCCTATTAGGCTATGTGACTAACCTCAGGCCAAGAGAATATGAATGGTTGTAGCAAGCAGCTTTGGAGCTAGCTCCCAAAGAGCAGTGTGTCCTCACCACTGTCCACATCTCCCCTTCCCAACCAGCTCTGACCGCCCAGGGGAAAAAAAACTCAAGAGCCACAAGGCTGGGAACGATGGAACCAGAGCTCCAGATGAGTCCATGCACTGCCTTCCGATCTGGCACCTGTTGAGGCCACTGTCACTCGTGTCTAGCCACCCAAAGCATGGTATCACCAAGCCTTCTCGGTTAGGAATGTGAGACCCCACAGTTGAGTCACGGGGAGCCCTCGGCCACCACCCATTATCTGAGAGTTTTAGACCCCTATACTCATCTGTAGCCCAGAGTGGCTTAGCAGTCAGTGCTCAATCCATCTGTATTTCAAATGTCTCCCTGGGGAGTGAGTCTGGCATCCCAGCCAAGGCCACAGCCCAGGACCCACTCCTGTTAGAGCCCTTCTGGGTTTTCACCCCATGGCACATAAGGCTGAGTTATTCTCTTGGTTGTCTCCATCCCTAACCCCAGGGTAGCCCTCCAGTGTAGTGGACAGGGAGCTCAAGATATTAGGAAGTAGCTCCTGGGAACTTTGCCTGAGTCTGAAAGCCAAGGGCAGGTTCATGGGGCGACCCAGCTGGGTCCTGTGCATCTCAAGCCTTCTTTCCACACACTGGCAGCGAAAGGGGACTCCCTCTTGCCTATACCAGATCTCTACTTTTTTTTCCTTTTTGATTTTTCCGAGACAGGGTTTTTCTGTAGCTTTGGAGCCTGTCCTGGAGCTAGCTCTTGTAGACCAGGGTGACCTCAAACTCCCAGAGATCCACCTGCCTCTGCCTCCCAAGTGCTGGGATTAAAAGACGTGTGCCACCACTGCCCGGCCAGATCTGTACTTTTCAGGCCAGTTCTCTCACAGTGAGGTTCATGCCACTCAGTCCATTTTCTAGGTGGAAACATGGAACCTAGAGAGGTGAGAGGCTCGCTGAAGCAGATGTGAGGACCACACAAATATGAGAAGCCAGCTCCAGCTGGGACCTCCTGCCAGCGTCACTTCCACCACATGCTGGGCCACTCTTCCAGGGTGTCACTCCCAGATCCCCTACCCAGCTCAAGGATATAAAAACTGTGGAACAGACCTTTCTATCGTCCCCACCCTGAGGACAGTGGGTCCATCCTGCTCTTTCCAGCATCTGCCACTGGCTTCTATGGTCCAGCTAGCACTCGTAAGTCCCTGCCTTGGCACACTTGGCCTCGGGAATGCAGGCCAACTCGGCTTAATCACCTATGCTTCCTGGCTTGGCAGCTACCATACTGTCGCCCCTCACAACCCTCAGAGGTGGAGCTAACAGCACTCAGGGTGTCTCTGGCCTGCACAGAGGGAGCATGAGAGGATGCCAGGCTTAGTGGGAGACCCTCTTCCAAAAGAGAAAGGGGAAAGAGAACTGAGGAAGACAAGACATTGACCTGGCCTCCAAGTGTGTGGTCCTTTACTGAGCCAAAGGCCACTGCAGCTGGAATGTAGTATCACCCTCTGAATCCTGCATCACTTGACATGGCGGCTGCTGCTCAGTGTGACGGAGCTGAGCATGAAGGATGTTGATGGAGGCTGCGGTCATGGAGAGCAGCCATCTGGGCAGATCTGGAAGCTACTTGGGGGAGGGGTCCTGCTCTTGGGGGAGGGGTCCTGCTCTTGGGGGAGGGGTGAGCTCTCTCTCCTGAGGACCCCTCCCGCCAAGAGCCTGCTTATGGGTGTAGGGAGTGGCCAGCAGGTGGCCTAGCACAGCCTAAGCACAGGTGCTGATTAACTTCCCTGCTGGTCCCTCAACCAGGTCGCCTGGCCTCTCCAGGAGGGGTAGAGGGTGGTATAGAAGGAATCCTGGTAGAGCTGCCAGCATGCAGGGCTTGTGGGTCAACACTGTGGGGGGCAGGAAGGTGATGAATGGTTCAGAGGAAGGATGGCGACAGTGCAGGGCCCAGTGAGCACTTGGGATCCTGTGCAAATATACTCGGGGGCTCCAGCCTCAAGGCTTTCTTCTCTAGACTGCCATCCCTTGTGCCTTTCCTCCAAAGTGTCACTGCCACTGGTGAGGTGGCTAATGCTGTAAAGGATGAGTCTGTGGAGACTGGGGTCTCCTTAACAGCTCTCTAGATCCTGAAGTATAAAGCTTAGAAATGCCCACAAGCTCGCGGGAGCACTGAGAGCTAGCTCCAAAGAGACCACAAAAGCAGTGGAGGGTGCTTAGCCCTGACCCTGCCCTTGGTGCAGCACCACCTCCGGAGAGAGCTCTGGCTGAAGCTGAGTGCTACAAACAAAGCCTGGCTTTAGTGCCAGGCCACAGCCCCAGCTGAGATCTCAAGTGCTCTTGTCAGAGCCCCAGCCACCTCGTCTTTAAAATTGGGCTGGCATGTCACACAGCCTGGCTGCTCTTGTAAGGATTGAAGTTAGCATGGGACAGCTCAGAAAGAAGCCAGAGTATGGCCAAAGATGATACATAGAACAGATGAAATGTTCCAAGAACCCTCCAGAGTACAGCCTGAAGTGTCCTGACCCCAGCTTGGTGCAAGGAAACCCTTACACCGCAGAAGGAAATGGCTGACCAAGTTCTTCTTGCCTGCACCACCACCCTAACTGTCCTCGACATATATCCCTCCCCAGTCCCTGGGAAAGTGGGAGGAAGGCTGCAGTCACCATTACTCCCGTCCAGTCTGGCACACAGCACAGGACCCTGCTGGAGCTTTGCAGGCGACCAAGACCTGAGGAACAGCTACTGCTTGGCGCAGGCATAGGCATCTAAGGACTGCTGGGAAATGGCCCTGCCCTCCACTCAGCTGGAAGAGGACAGCAGGTGGTGTCTGACACCTCCCATATAACATGGTCACCAAAGACGGCCAGAGGCCCTCTGAGGGGATGTTGGTATCAAGAACCGCAGAAGGAGCGGGGGGGGCCCCCCCCGCAAAGATGTTCAGTCTGTACTCACGTGGAGAAAGGCTCTCACACACCTTTTTTGGTCAAATAAAATGCAAAGCCTAGGGCACATAGAGGGGCAGTCTTGGAAGGAACATGACTGTCATATGGCCTGGGCCAGGGTCACTGAGGAGTTTGGACAGGGTCTCTCTATGGCCCAGGCTGCTTCCATCTGAGTGCAAGGATTGAAGGCACACATCACCACCACACAGAAGGCTCTGTCTGTCTTTTACCTGTCTCCACCACACACGCCTCAGCTTGGGCCATTTGGCCATGGTAAAAGGGCTTCTTGGTAGCATTCAGGCTTCTGAGCCCCCCCACCCACCCAGGTATCCTGTCCAGCCAGATTCCCAGAGGTCAGCTGGTACACTGG